CCCCCCCCCCCCCCCCTCTCTCTCTCCCTCTCCAAGAGGTAATCAATCCGACCCATTCGCGTCTTTCAGTTTTCTCATGTTTTTCTCTTTTTGGCCCTGTTCTTCCGCTAGTCAGATCTGTTAAATTTTATGAACTCGGAAATCTCAAGTTGCTGAATTGATTCTCCGAGCTCGTGTAATGTTGAATTCGAATCAAGTTTTGATTTTTCGGACACGGGTCGTTCTCATTTCCTTGGTTCCGGTCTAGTAATCTAGTGAATCTCGAAGTCGCAATACGTGTCTAGATGTGTGATTTGATGAGTTTTGTCTTGCGGTCTGGTTTTGGTAGGTTGTTTCGAGATCCAGGAAGAGAAGACTGGAGTAGACGGATCGTGTATCGAATCGAAAATAGAAAAGGAATAATGGGTTATATCGGATCGCATGGTGTTGCAGCTCTTCATAGATACAAATACAGTGGTGTTGATCACTCTTATCTTGCCAAATATGTGCTTCAACCCTTTTGGACCCGATTCGTCCATTTCTTCCCGCTGTGGATGCCGTGAGTATCTCTTTGACGCTGCTTCATGTATGTTTCCTAGTCATTGTTGTATACAATCTTGTTGGTGGTAGTAACATTCTGTCATTTTAATCGAGCAATCGTGTGTGTTGAACTGCCAAACTATCTTGTTTGATCAGATGCTATACGAGGTTGTTCCATGGGATGCCTAGTTACTAGCATACAAATTTTGAGATCTTTGATCATCTTGGGTCTAAAATGGTTGTCATTTGGTTTTCTGTTGCATAATGGTAAAATCCTTGCTTAGGCGGGTGAACGTTTATTTCCATTCAGCTAAATATCTGACTGACATTTTGTGATGCCTTTTCTTTTCATGTGCGTTTTCCTGTTTCGCCTTGGACAATTTCCAGACCCAATATGGTATTGTAATTCTTATTTGACAATTTTCTCTTCCTGTGTTACTGTTATGCAACTATCACTTCATGCTAATTTTTCTGGTTTATTGTTTTTTTTTTCAGATAACACTCATGGGGTTTATGTTTCTTGTCACATCTGCTCTGCTGGGTTATGTGAGTTTTCTTCTGCTGTATTGAATCTTGATATTTCATATTCTATTGTTTTGTTGATGGTGTTTCTGCTATGTTCTTATGGATATAGTTCTTTTAAACATTTTATTGTCTGCTGCAGATATATTCACCTCAGCTGGATTCCCCCCCGCCACGTTGGGTTCATTTTGCACATGGCTTACTTCTGTTTTTGTATCAGGTTTGCTCTTCTCTCGTTTTAGGACTTCAATGAGTTTTTACTTCTGCATGCTTTGCTAATTGTAGTCTTTTGAACCCTAATCCTTGCATTTTAGACATTTGATGCGGTTGATGGGAAGCAAGCACGCAGAACAAGTTCCTCCAGCCCACTGGGAGAGCTCTTCGACCATGGTGATTTCTGTTCTCTATGTTTGTCATTGACTATTTGTCTTCATTTAGTTTGTAGATATTGCTGACACATGTGGTTCATGTTATGTTTTATGTTGCAGGTTGTGATGCACTTGCTTGTGCGGTATGCATTTAGCCGTCCTTTTTCACTGTCCATTCATTAGTGACACATTCCTTGAATGATGCTGATTGTTATAATTTAAAAAAAAAAGTTCGAAAGCATGGCATTTGGAAGCACTGCTATGTGCGGAAGAGATGCTTTTTGGTTCTGGGTTATTTCAGCCGTTCCATTTTATGGAGCTACATGGGAACAGTAAGTGGGCTACTTATAATTTTTTTTTTCATGTTCATTTTTCCTCTCTAGTATGTTTCCAAGTGGAAAATTGTGGCATTTTCTGACGTTCTGCTTACCTTTATGTAGCTATTTTACCAACACACTTATTCTTCCGGTAATCAATGGTCCTACAGAGGGTCTCGCCCTTATATATGTCAGCCATTTCTTCACCTCCATTGTTGGTGAGTTTCTCTCTTGCAAAACGAGATATTGCGGTCTCTAAAGTGCTTTGTCAATTGTCATTCATCTTATGTTTGGCTAGCCTTTTGGTAGCTCATCTTCTCATGATCATTGCCTTTACCCTGCTGCCACTCACTAGATTTTTTTTCCTCAAAAGGTGCTGAATGGTGGGCTCAGCAGTTTGGGAATTCCATACCCTTGTTTAGCTGGGTGCCATTTGTTAATGGTAAGGGCTTCCTTAACCCAGCGACACGTTGAATACAGTTACAGTCTTGTGTCGATCGAGAAGAAATGATAGCGTGGTATTTGGTTATTAAGTCTTTGATCTCTCTCTGTTTCAGAGATCCTGACATACAGAGCTGTACTATACATGATGATTGCTTTTGCTGTTATACCTACTGTTGCATTCAAGTAAGTTCTTCGAAAATCTAGCAACTTATATATATATATCAGTTTTACGGTGCTCATCTGGGCTGCATGACTATGTTTTACAGTGGCTCATATATGGTTGCAACTTTTGCAGCGTGTCTAATGTCTATAAGGTTGTTCAGTCAAGGAAAGGGAGCATGCTTCTAGCGTTAGCTATGGTAATCGTCTGATCATTTGATTTGTGGACAAATGTGGTTTGTTTCTTAGCCTGTCTGCTGATATCATGTTGATCTTTGATTTCAGCTTTATCCCTTTGTTGTGCTTCTTGGAGGAGTTTTGATTTGGTAAAAATTCCGTTTCATGTTCTCTCCACGACCCTGATTTCCTACCTTCCTCCCATCACTGAAAATTTCCGGTATTTTTTTTAAAGGGATTATTTGTCTCCAACTGATCTCATTGGAACGTATCCTCATTTAGTTATACTGGGAACTGGACTTGCATTCGGATTTCTTGTGGTAAGTGTTGTATTTATTTTGTTGTTTTTACTAAATTTTGTCTTTCATTGTCTTCTGGGATTTATTGCTTCACATGCAAACTTGAGAAGAATAGGGTATAGCTTTGAAGCAAGTTTGGCCATATAGAAGACTTCTAAATGGATCATTCTACATTTTTCAGGGAAGGATGATCCTGGCTCACTTGTGTGATGAACCAAAAGGGCTCAAAACCAACATGTGCATGGTATATCAATGCCTTTTTTTATATGATATTAGGGGTGTCGATTGAGGCCCGAGACCCGAAGCTCGGCCCAGGCCCCCCCAAAAAATGTCGGGCTTCGGGTCTATCTATCCTTTTCTGAAGATTTCCTCAAGATGATACTGACTTGTCCATCTCATGCAGTCGTTGCTGTATCTTCCCTTTGCGCTTGCAAATGCTCTAACAGCTAGACTAAATGATGGGTATGTTTTTGTAGATTCTTGAATCAGAAACTTCTTCCTGTTTGGTCGTATCCAACTTATCTTTCTGGTTACATTATACGTTTCCTCATGCATTTCTGCAGGGTCCCCTTAGTTGATGAGTTCTGGGTTCTTCTCGGCTACTGCATATTCACAGGTTTGCTCGAATTCGTTCCATAGGGTTTCCTCGCGAAATCTCTTCAGATCTTACGGCCATGAATGGTGTTTTTGTTCTCGGGATTAGGCTAATGATGTTTTCCATGTAACCTCTTACCAAAACCTTCTCTCTCGTTCCGGGTTGATGGCAGTGTCGCTTTACTTGCACTTTGCAACTTCAGTCATTCATGAGATCACCACCGCCCTTGGGATCTACTGCTTCAGGTTAAAAACTTCTGCCCCTACGGGATAAAAAGAACGGAAAACCCGATGTCCTTGAAACTAACACGAGAACGAAAACGATCAATATTTTGTTTTCTCGAGATCGAAAAACAAAAATGCTTAAAATGCTGTTCTTCCTTCTGTTCCGTGCAGGATTACTCGTAAAGAAGCCTGAGAAAGAAAGGAAGAAGAAGAACGGTTGATGAAGATTTTTCTTTCCCAGGGGGTCGTTCAATGCCTGATGAACACGATTAGGGACATGTTGTGACCGGACAATGAGTTAAAGATGGGTTTGTATTTGGATTTAGACCGTCAAGAATACGGATCGTTGGATTTTTTTTTATTTTTTTTTTGTTGGGTTCCTTGTGCTCGTCATTAGTTTCGGGATTAGTTAATTTATTTTTTAAAACTTTTGTATTATTTCGTTTTTGGCACCAGAGGGTATATGATAGCAGTTTCTGGAGAGAAAAAAGACCATTAGACTATTAATTATTGTTTCTGTTGTAACGTTTTCGAGGAAATTTTGTTAATTATTAATTACAAGTTTCGTTCTGAATATTTATATACATGATAGGGCCCAATAAATAATAAACGGGCCAATCAAACGACTAAAAGTATAATGTATCACATACATTTACAAGAAAACATCTGAAAAGTAGGAGTGTATGGTCAAAATGGTCAACGGTTTTATAGACAACCAAATTGCATTGTCGATTTTTTTTTTTCAGTTACAAGTTACAAGTAGTCTGTGTATTAAATGACACCTTTTCAAATTCAAGGTTTTTTTTCTATGTTTGAACAAGTTCGAGGTTTTTCCGGTATTTTACCTTATAATATATGTAACATACGTGTATACTGGAGGGTAGGTATACGTATCTATTACGGGGGGTGCATGCTGATCATCCCATACATACGTACCTCGACATATCCATTAAACGTAACAAATTCGATTTCAAGACATTTCATTTCAGTAAACTTTTGGACTAGCCATGGAACGCAATAAATTCGATCTCAAGACATTTCACTTCAATATTTTTTGGACTAAGTTCTTATTCCCCATTTTTATTTTATTAACTGGTGGTGGGTTTTTTTTTCCTTTTTAAAAAAAATGAAAAATTATATATATATATATATATA